CCATTTGTGGTGTGGTGCCCTCGGAGAGCCGGCGAAGTCTTCAGATGTCGTAGTCGGAGAGGGAGAGGCTTTGGAGAGTCAAACGGGATTCGCCACTGTCATCCCTCGTACTGGGTAGATGTCCCAGCCGGTTGGGCCGTGTCCCCCGTGCACTCTCCTCCACCCCTATGATCGATACCCTCCTCAAGGTGGACGCTGGCCCGTCCCAGTGGTGCCCGTAGGGCTAAACCGCGCCGTAGGAGGTATAGGCGTATATTTAAACGAGTGAGGCTCGTGTCGATCAAAGAGACCAGTTGAACAACGGAACTGAACAGTTTGGCTTTACATTGTTGAGCCACGGAGAACATTGGTAGTAACGGTGAAAGTAAAAGTGACATCTGTGTGTAGCGGCGCAAGTAGAGCTTCGCGGTCTGCCGCCAGGGGCAGACTGAGCAAGCGAGGTGGCGCAGCTGTCGCTACACCTGCGGAAAAACGCATTCGATAGCTCTCTTAACGTTTTTTCTGATGCCTGCCCTCAGATTCAACCGAAGATGGTTTAGCCTGCAGGAGACAAAAACTTCCAAAATGTACGTTGCTTGCTGATAGTTTTTCTTAAATAACTTTTCACTTAAAACTTGCAAGAGCTCACTTTTATCAGCATCGTGATCCTCCCGTCGAGAAGCATCGAAGGTTTTGTTGCATATCAGTCGATCCGTATCGTCGAGCTGAACACATCTAGGGCATTTTCATCGCTCTGGGATGCCTTTATCAAAAGTTATTAGCGAATAGCTGTTGGATACCATTCATGACCTGAAATGACCTCAGGGACATACAGTGGGGTTACGGGTGCAATTTTCCGGTTCAGCGGTCATGTTTACTTGTAAATAAGAGTGTCACAGTGTTAGGAATGACACTGGTCCAAAAGAGGCGCCTTTCAATTTTCTACCATTGACTTTGTGCCCTCTCCCATTGATAATGGGAGAGGGCGTGAAATTGACCTGAACTTTGGTCACCGACATCAAATCTCCGAGATACAAATTTTTACATGTTGTTGCCTTTATCAATTCCTGAAAGTTTGAAAGAGATCTGTCACTCAATGCAGCTAAAGCAGGCGTTGCAGTCTTTACTGAGGTGAGGTCACTTGACGTGATCTGGTGACCTGACCTTGAGTGACTCTGGTCTGAAATATTCACAACATGTGCAGAAACGATGTATGATAAAATGTCCCAAAATGGTGGCGCTCCGTGCCAACGTTTTTGAGATATTTTGCGAGAAACCGCAGGGGAGGGGGCTTGCGGTTTCTCGCAGATATGGTACCCAAAGAGTCACGGAAAAGTATGGAATTTCAGTAACCTTGGTTGCATCACCAATGGGGTCTGGTAGGTGGGGGTAATGGCCCTGCCTGGCGCCAAAAAAGGGGGCACGACCCCGGAGGACCTGCCGACCACTGTCCTATGCAGTTATGATAATTAGACTCGGCCAGCAAATGGCTGCTGACCGCAAAACAAAGTCAAACATACGCTATAGTGTGATATGCCTATTACCTACTGCCTAGCGACTCGTTAACCGCATTACGCATTGACGACAGTAGTTAGTCGTTCAACCATGGCCGGTCGGGTCTGTCCCTCGTGCACATTATAAGGCGCGCTCGGCCAATTTAGCATCCGTTACACAACACCCCCGGCCAGGGCCGTCACAGTGGCACGTGCATTGTCAGCGTGCCAGCTCGCTCGTAAAGTCCCGTGTGCAGAAAACTGTCAGCGTAAACAACGATTGTGTTCGAAATACACAGAAACATACTTTGGCCGGCCAAACGGCGCCCATTGTCTGTCGCCGGTGATATGAGGATGCACGATCGCCGCGAAACACCCGAGGCCGCGAGCCGCAGTGGCCCGACTCGTAGATTCCAGGAATGCTATTTTCTCCTTAGCTAGTTGGAGCATGCAAGCCGGTATGCCGTTCTGAATGTAAATTATGTGTATTTTTATTCCAGTCGTCTGATGGGGAATATTGAGCCGGACTGTCCAGGCCGAATGAATATGGCCATAACAGGGCTGCCTACCAAATAAGAACAATGAGCACAAGCTCCCGTATAAGTAGTAGAATTTCCCAGATTGAAAGTAATTGAAACGGGAAAAAGACGTTTACGCTCATGAACAGCATCAACAACTTAAGCTGACGTACCGATTAATAACAAGCCTTGCTTCATGAGCACCGACTTCACTTCGGATGGAGGGTACGACCAGACCCTCAAACCGCGGTCATTTGTCAGGCAGTTTATATTTCACAAGACGTAGATTCTATCTCACACAGTAGCCTGGCGCTCATTCGCGTAAATTTCTGCGGCCGCACAGCAAACACTAACCCCGATCAACATCTGGTCCTTCTGATCTGACTTGGCCGGCCATACCAGACTGAACTGACGACAGGCTAAAACGGCGCGGTATCCTATGAGCAGGCCGGCAGGTGACAGATATATGTGCCATTAACGCCGACCGCCCGGAACCGGTGACGTCATTATGAACGGGTGACGTAATCAGACCCTCGCAGACGTCATGTGACCAGTGCAGGGCGCGGACTAACCGCAGAGCAGACAGATCTGATGACTGAGGCAGATCATCACGTGGTTATTGTTCTGGCGGACCACATGCTTAGATAAGACAGACAGACAGGTGCGGAAAACAAAACAGCGAGATAACAGATGCCGTGGTGTAAGCGCTGAACTGTATTATCCATCTACGGGCTGGGAGGGGCTGCCTGTTCATTGCATGGTACGATCGCACTGTTTGTATAAGCCACTGCCGCGTGTGCGCAGACTCGCTGTTTCTGTTGTCCCGACTCTGACGCTCTTCTCTCTCCTTCCGCAGGGGTCGAGGCCGGGGCCCGACGGCCGCTGCCGGCGGCGCGCGCGGCCGCCGCCAGCTCAAGTTCCATCACCAGGCGCTGCCGCCCGAGTACCTGGACCACTACGTGCAGCGCATGAACCAGGAGGCCGCCTCGCTGCTGGCCCAGGAGGTGACGGCGCAGGCGGCGCGCGAGGCCAGCCCGCCGCAGCCGCCGCCGGAGCGGCCGGCCGCCACCGCCGCCCTGCCGCACCTCACACCGGACGTGCTCAGCGCCGCCTGCCAGGCCGGCCGGCGGCACGGCACCAGCACTGTCCGGCCAGAGACACTCAGCAAGGTGGCCTCGGTGATCGCGGCCAACTCAAAGTACCGGCAGATCCTACCGCGGCCGGCGCCAAACCGAGGCACGAGGACACGCGGCCGCGGCCGGGGGAGAGGACGAGGCTCACGAGCCATCCCCGGCTTCATCCAGGAGGTGCACGGCAGCATGAACAAGGGCCAGGAGAAGATCCTGGTAGAGAAATCCTCCTACGACGGCGGCAGTCTCTTCCCGACGTCGGTATCGGCACACCTGGTGAAGGCCATCCCGGGCCCGTCGGCGGCGCTGGCGGCGGCGGCGGCGGCGGGCTGTGAGCCGCCGGCAGGGGGCGCTGAGGCGGCCGCCGCTGCCGCTGCGGCGCTCAGCCGGCTTCAGGGCGGCCTGGAGAGTCCGCTGGAGGGCCGCCACCGCAGCAGGAAGCCCCGCAAGGCCGACATCTGTCACATGGTGGACGGCGGCGGCAGCGAGCGGTCGCCCAGCTCCCCAGAGACCCCCGATACGCCGCCAATGTCGATGCTACAAACACTCCTCAGCGCCAAACCGGAGCCGGGAGACGGAGCCGAGGAGTTCTATAGTCGCCTGCACGAGTACCTGCCCATGTACCAGCGGCTGCTGGCCGGCGCCGGCGCGCACAGCGATTCCGGCGAACAGGAGGAGCCGCTCAACCTCTGCATCCGCGACCTGAGCCTCAGCGACGGGCCGTCGGTGAAGTCGGAGCCGTCGGCCGACGAGTCGCCGCCCGACTCGCCGTCCGAGGCCGCCTGGGGCAGTGACTACGTGTTCTGGCCCGAGGCCGGCGTCATGGTACACCCGCTGATGCTGGAGCATCACTGGCGGCAGCGGGCGAAGGGAGACGCCGCCACCTGGGCAGGTGACGCGCCCGACAGCCCCACAGACGCCGGCGGGGCGGCCGACGGAGGATCGCGGCGCAAGAAACGCTCCCCGGCTCACGTGCTGTCGGGGGACTCCGCGTCAGCCGGCGCCGGGGGGTTCGGCTCCACCTCAGATGTCAGCATATGTAAGTTCAAGTTCAAGGGCGGAGCGAACCCCAGTCTCCAGGAGAAAAAGAAGCTCTCGCTCAACAGCGACGGCCAGTTCCGCTTCTTCCAGAACGAGCGCACGCCGCCGACGGCGCTGGGTGAACAGAGTGTGGCGAGTACGAGCAGCGAGCGGGCAGCGCCCAGTCCCGACCGCAAACGGAAGCGGGCCGGGCCGCTGGAGCAGCACCGCCAGCTGGAGAAGAAATTTCGCGAGCAGGGCTTTCTGATTCAGACGGCGCAGACTGAGTCGGCCGAGGGCGCCACCTACTGCAAGTTTCGTCAGCTGAAGAAGTTCACGCGCTACCTGTTCCGCAGCTGGCGCGACTACCTCCCTGAGGAAGGCGAGGAGGGGGACACCGCCGCGCCGAGTGAGACGGCCGGCAGCGAGTCCCCGCCGCTGGCAGAGGTCAAGTTGTGACTGGGGCGGCCGCCGGATCGATAGTCGGCCCGGCTATCAGTGTGCCCGTCCCTCGCGGGAGGCGCGAGTGTCGACTGTATGCGTGCGCACGTAATGGTGACTGTGAGGTGGCGAGTGCCAGCCGGAGTGTATTTATCGCGTGAGTCTCATCGAGTGGCGCATTGTCCGTCCGCCGCGCGCCGCATTCGTCACTTGTTATTGTTGTCATGTGCGAGGAGGGACAAACGTGCAATGCCTAGTCATGTGTTTGCAGTGCCATTTTAAGCAATAAACGGCCGTAAGTGCCTTCGCACACCGCCCAATGAACTTCTCTGCTCTCTCATCTGACTCCATCACAACTGCTAATCAGCGCATCATCACAGCACATCGTTTCTACCCACATCCCACTACCAAATCCAATCAACCTGTCAACTGTTTATTGACACCAAAAATAATCCATGGCGCGTCTCACGGTTGCGAGGTTCTCCACGTCCTGTGGCAGGGACAGATCTGCACAGACCCGTCCTCCGACCCCGCGGGCGGTGACTCGTTCAGGTAGCGGCACCCGGAGCTGACGTCTCTCCCAGCTCGCTCCGACCAGGCGCGCCGAACTCCGGGCGCCGTGTGAGCACACACCCACCGTGTCAGCGCTGTCTACATCTACAGCTACTAGCAACTCTAGCCGAGAGAGAGGAGAGAGGAGAGGGCGGTGATGATGGAGTAAGCAGGACAGAGACTGAGTGGCGGCGGCGCCGGGCGCTGACCTGACGCGCGGCTCGTCCGTGAGTGTATGATGCGGCCCGCTGGCCGGCCGGGGCGGACCTCAGTCCCGGCGGGACGGCCTCTCAGTCCCGGCCGTTGGTCCTCGGCGAGCGGGAGCGGGAGCGAGAGCGCGACCTGAAAAATAAAACACGAGGCCCAAGTCAGATGACGTCGAGACCGAACAGGGAGTAATGCATCACGCATTCAGCACTAAGGCCGTCAGCGGAACGAGCGCAGGCAATCACAAAATGCGGGTCTGTGCGAAATGGCCAGCCTTACGTAAATGCTTTAATGAAACACGGCACGGATTAATGCTTTGAACGGGTGACAAAGTTTTTAGTTTTATACAAGCCCACTTCGTACACAAACAATAACAAGCTAGATAGTCCCATCCGTATATGCCGTATATGAAAGTGAAATACACGTCCGAGCACACGTCGACGCCAGCGCCACCTACTTGCTGCGCGTGTAGGAGCGGGTACGTCCGCGCCGGTCACGAGAGCGCGAGCGGGAGCGACGGTCACGGTCGCGGTCGCGGCTGCGGGACCTGAAACAGCCCCGGGGGCAGGCAGGTGTCAGCCGCCGCGAGCGGGGCGGGGCGGGCTGGGAGAGGGCGGACGGGCAGTTACTCAGTGGCGAAGAACGCAGGATTGGTTGGAAAATGTAGATAAATGTCCGCAAGTGACTACCCTCGGGAGAGGTAACTGAACAGAGGCAACAGAGGACTAGTAGGAAGCTGAAATGGGTAAGACAATACGACGGTATAGCAATGTGTAAGGATACCTCCGTGACCTGCGTCGACACACACACTTCAAGCGACACTCTTCACGTGGTTGCTTAAAATAATACATTTCTTCAAAAGCAAGCCGCATCTCGATTCGCGACACACCAGGGTACTTCAGGGTAAGGCATTCAGATGGGCATGTTCACAAAATTACGAATTCCGATTCGTGAAGAGGATACGCTACACCGCAACGTAGTGACTTGTGTGATATTGGCATGGGTTGCAAGCATTCATACGAGGTAACTAGTTCGAGGGAAACATCCGCCGAATACAGGAAACCAGCCAAGTGAATTATCAGGAGAGCGTAAACATTGGAATTCCGAGGGCACTACAATGTTTGGGTTAGGGATTCAGCAAACGGATCGAACCGAAAAGGTGCCGAAATCAGACTCAGTAAGCTGATATGTACATAACCTTTTACATTTTATTTCGTCGCAAGTCAAATGTGTCTATCCCGAATTTCAGTCGGTTTAAGGTTGTCCCTGTTTGACTGAATTTCTGCCCATAGCAGAGAATGGTGTAGCGCTACTGTATTCAATCCTTTGAAAGTGTTTATCAAAGGTTGCATCATTAAATTGTACTTTCTTCCTCCAGCAGCTTACTCGATTATCCAAGACACCGAATTTTGGATGTGATAAAGCGATCTGATAAGTTTATATGATGCCTCCAGCGAAAGAAAAGAAAAGTGTCAAGCAAGCTTTTTACAATGATAATTTTTGTGATGGAACTTAAACAGCGCCACTCAAAATGGTGCTGAGGTAAAAGGTGGAGACAAGGTGGAGACTTCCACTGGCGTCCAACTGGCGTCTGGCTGAGCAGGCGTCCAAGTTGGCGTCTAACTTGGCGCCTAACTGTTGGAAGGAGACTTCCAAGCTAGACGCGTCTAGCAAGACGCGAAATGGAAGTCTCCACCAGCCTTACCTAAGAAGTAAGACCACATAACCTGAATACCAGAATCATTCAATTGTAGCCGTCCGACATTTCAACTGTTAACAGTTCTACCAGCAAAATAACAGCTGAATCGAGTTTTGCGATACTACGGCCTCTCCATAGCACGTTTCCTCTTTCACACAGGTAATTTTCGGTCTGCCTGTAGCAGATTTGACCAGCGTCCGGTCCGACACTGAGTCTCTGTCCACTGTGGCACGCGCTAGTGCATCTCTGTGTGCCCTGTGACGGCGTCTCACCACCGAGCTGGGCGGCACTGGGAGCGGTGACACGCGGCTGACTGGGAGCGGTGACACGCGGCTGACTGGGTGGGGATGGGTGCGCACTGCGCGCGCTCTGCAGGCAGCGCCGCCGATCACACGGCTCGGACGGTCAAGCTGTGACGGTCAAGCTGACTGTGCGGGCGACAATCATCCCCTACGAAACGTCAGAACAGCGCGTCAGCAGGCCATCGACCACCCATTAACCACGGGCACGACACCAGCGGCCACGAGCGGACGCGTGTCTTCTCCGCCCTCCCGCTGGGGCCCGCCCCACCCCCGCCGACCCGCCCGGCCGCCGGCTCACCTCTTGCGGCCGCCGGCGCCGGTAAAGTGGTTCCTCTTGTCGGGACAGTCATAGGCGTAGTGGCCGCGGCCGCCGCACTCGTAGCAGCGGTCGTTAGGGTTGTACCCACCGCTGCTCCAGCGGTTGAAGCCGCCGCCGCCGCCGCGGCCGCGTGATCGGCCCGTGGACATCTCGACGGTGACGCGGCGGTTGCAGACGGTGCTGGAATGGCGGCAGCACGAGCGTCAGACAGCACAAACGGACATTTGTAGACAGTCAGACAGAGCGCAAACGGACAGCGACCGTCAGACAGAGCACAGATAAACTGCAGCCGTCAGACAGAGCACAAACGGGACAGCAGCAGTGGCCGTAGTCAGTTAGCAAAACTCATAGGATGGCTGCTGGACCTAGTATAACTATAATGGTACATATCTATACAATTGTCCACTTGTCTTGTGTCTGAAGACGCATGCGGTCTTCAACTTACCGTCCGTCCAGACCTCTGACGGCGTCCCGGGCATCGCGTGGGTCCTCAAACTCGACGAAAGCGAAGCCCGGCGGGTTGCGGGCGACCCAGACGTTGGTCAGCGGTCCGTAGTAGGAGAAGGCATCCTCCAGCTCCGTCTGTGAGGCGTTACTTCCTGAAAATGGACGAGTTTACAAACGCGATATCAATAATGATCCTATGATCCTATGATCCTAATGATAATGAAGTGAAAGATAGAATTTGTAGTTGCATGTATTGTACATAGCAGATAAGCTGACTGAAATTAACAAGGGAAATGACAGCACATGATAACCAGCTCATTGTTATTTCATGCATTCAAAAGGACCAATTGTATCAAACAGGTTGACTATATGAGATTAATAGCCAACAACATTCAATTCTAAATGTTTCACATGTTGACTTTCAATTGGTTAGATTAAAATGCTTACCAAGATCCCCCACGTAGACTTTGCAGTCAACATTTCCTCGAGACATGCCTTCAGATTGTTAGCAGACCCGATGGGCCACTGTAACACACAACACAGCACATGGTTCCATGACTTACAAGGACAAAGGGATGGCTATATTGTATGCACACACATACCATCAGTGACTACGCCTGGGATTACAACATACCTAGTGTTCATGGCTTGAATTAAAGATCTGAAAGACCTTTTCTGAAGAAAGACCTTTTCTGAACAAATACCTTAAAACTTAACTTTAACTTAGGTACTTTAAAACCGGGGGTAACTTGACAGGCCAGGGTAGCTTTGATTTGAGATGGCTGCCCCCATGGAACAAAATTGACCTAATTTCTGACCATTATTTCAGAGGTAAGCAGTAATGTAAGCTTTCTCAACCTCATGACATGCATTCCCAGATGCTGGACAAATTTGTTAACATAACTACCAAAACCAGATTTATTGTTTAAAGGGAATTATATTGCTGAAACTAACACTGCTTAGTGCTTTTTGCCCCCCCCCCCCATCAATGACCAAAATTTTTTTTGCAGCCACATTTAAAAAAAAGCACTTACTGCCTTTATTCTTATTCGAACAGCCTTCAAATCAGTCTGCCATGATTTCTCAAGGATTATATCACCATCTTGTGCTAACCAAAGCAGTTTTTGGAAAATTAGTCCGCATGAAAGGGATCAATCTTTTAGAACCCATGTTTATTCAGGAGTGGCAACAGCATGCATTACACTGTTTGTGATAAATTAGGCACCCTTTTTTATAGGAGATAAAGAAGGAATATAATTCTATGCAACTTTGAAGTTAGCTATTAGGAGTACTGAGGAATTCCATGTGTAAGTTTCATGGAAAAATGAACACTTTTGAGAGTAATTAGTAACCCCACCTAGCGCCTGCCACCTGGGGTTACTTTGATCACGCTGTTTTTCACTTATATCTCATGTTCCAATTATGTTATAAACAAGAAACTTGGCACATATGTAGTCTTGCATTGAAATGCAATTTGGTTGGAACTTCAGCAAAATATCCCAATCCACATAAGAGTTATGACCCAAAAACCTTGAAGTTTAATCAGGGTCAAGCATTTCATTTAGGAGGGGTCCGACAACTGAGGTCCACCATCCTGCTCAGGTTCCACCTGTCTCCCATATATGCAATTTGCCAACCCCATTGAAAACATCAGGATTGGTGACCAGACTATTGATTTGAAATACTAGCACATTTGATCCCAATGAACAGAGCTTGGCACTCTAAAAGTGAGTGGTAGTTGCGTAAATGGCCGTCGGCATACCTATTTCATGTTTTTTCATAATTCATTAGCAAGATTTGCATGAGGGCTCTCCAGGCATGCATACCCTGATTCGTCATTACACGACTGGGCTGTGCCTTGCACGATTGAGTAAGGCTAGCGGAGACCCGTGCGCACCCGAGATCTCGTCGAAACCTGCCACGTTTTGCAGCTTGGGGGAAATGAATAGACAAACATCTGCGCTTTTACCTTGAAAATCTCTCGACTATCAATGCAAATCAGTCGCAGTTCTACGCGAAAATATCTTCGAACAGACTTCAACCCTCAGTCAACATATAAAACATTATATTCACTGATATAACTTGGATATAACAGATACAGCGTTGCGTGTAGACGAGAATTACAACCATAGGGCTGTTCGGCTGCGCAGCAAAAATGAAATATGCTGCAGCACGCATGCGCAGTGAGGGCTTCGTCGCCTGTTAGTCCCGCCCACACCACTGCGTCACCGCCTGTGTGACGTCACCTACTGAAGCATGCTTCGTTTTCCTGCAGCACGAAATTTGGTGCTGCAGGAGGCGAAAGTGGCGCGGATTAAAGTTTACCGTCCAATATTTCATGTAACGGAAGTTAGCAGGGATTCAGCAGGGGTTCAGCAGGGATTCAGCAGGGATCGACGGCCCCTACGATTTCGCTGAATTTTGGTGGAGAGGTGCAGAATGGTGTCCTCTATCGAAAATCCTAGTGCCAAAATGCGGGGAATCCATCAGGGGGGCCACAAATCCAAAAAAACAGTATGCCCTCAGGGCACAATCGACGAACTTTGAAAACCCTACTTCTAGCCGTCAAAACAGCTAAAAATGCACGTCATTCGAAAGAAGACAAAATTTTACGTGCAACGGTACCAAATTTAGGGGGCTAGCGCCCCCTGAACCGAACAAAACAGCTTCAAATATATGGGCCCGGGAGTATGCCCTCGGGGCATAAATAAACGTTTTCAACAATTTTAGGCCTATAACATCGACAAAATCCAGCAATATGCACATCATTGGAAAGAGCGTGATTTCCCAAACAAAAAACCCCAGTAACATTTTTCGATGGGGCCCACCTGGGGCCCACGGGACCCAATTGAAATTTGGGGCCCAATGGGGCGGCCCCTACGATTTTCTTCAAAATTTGCACAGACACTCTCCTGGGCCCCCTCTTCAATCTGGCTGAAGAAACCTACCGGGGAATCCAAAGGAAGGGGCCCAAAGAGGGCCCCAAAGAGGCCCTTTCTAAGTATTGCCCCTAATTTCGCGACCAACCCCGGCAATATGCACATTATTGGAAAGAGCGTAATTTCCCAAACAAAAAACCCAAGTAACATTTTTCGATGGGGCCCACCTGGGGCCCACGGGACCCAATTGAAATTTGGGGCCCAATGGGGCGGCCCCTACGATTTTCTTCAAAATTTGCACAGACACTCTCCTGGGCCCCCTCTTCAATCTGGCTGAAGAAACCTACCGGGGAATCCAAAGGAAGGGGCCCAAAGAGAGCCCCAAAGAGGCCCTTTCTAAGTATTGCCCCTAATTTCGCGACCAACCCCGGCAATATGCACATCATTGGAAAGAGCGTAATTTCCCAAACAAAAAACCCAAGTAACATTTTTCGATGGGGCCCACCTGGGGCCCACGGGACCCAATTGAAATTTGGGGCCCAATGGGGCGGCCCCTACGATTTTCTTCAAAATTTGCACAGACACTCTCCTGGGCCCCCTCTTCAATCTGGCTGAAGAAACCTACCGGGGAATCCAAAGGAAGGGGCCCAAATAGGGCCCCAAAGAGGCCCTTTCTAAGTATTGCCCCTAATTTCGCGACCAACCCCGGCAATATGCACATCATTGGAAAGAGCATAATTGCCCAAACAAAAAACCCAAGTAACATTTTTCGATGGGGCCCACCTGGGGCCCACGGGACTCAATTGAAATTTGGGGCCCAATGGGGCGGCCCCTACGATTTTCTTCAAAATTTGCACAGACACTCTCCTGGGTCCCCTCTTCAATCTGGCTGAAGAAACCTACCGGGGAATCCAAAGGAAGGGGCCGAAAGAGGGCCCCAAAGAGGCCCTTTCTAAGTATTGCCCCTAATTTCGCGACCAACCCCGGCAATATGCACATCATTGGAAAGAGCGTAATTTCCCAAACAAAAAACCCAAGTAACATTTTTCGATGGGGCCCACCTGGGGCCCACGGGACCCAATTGAAATTTGGGGCCCAATGGGGCGGCCCCTACGATTTTCTTCAAAATTTGCACAGACACTCTCCTGGGCCCCCTCTTCAATCTGGCTGAAGAAACCTACCGGGGAATCCAAAGGAAGGGGCCCAAAGAGGGCCCCAAAGAGGCCCTTTCTAAGTATTGCCCCTAATTTCGCGACCAACCCCGGCAATATGCACATCATTAGATAGAGCGTAATTTCCCAAACAAAAAACCCAAGTAACATTTTTCGATGGGGCCCACCTGGGGCCCACGGGACCCAATTGAAATTTGGGGCCCAATGGGGCGGCCCCTACGATTCTCTTCAAAATTTGCACAGACACTCTCCTGGGCCCCCTCTTCAATCTGGCTGAAGAAACCAACCGGGGAATCCAAAGGAAGGGGCCCAAAGAGGGCCCCAAAGAGGCCCTTTCTAAGTATTGCCCCTAATTTCGCGACCAACCCCGGCAATATGCACATCATTGGAAAGAGCGTAATTTCCCAAACAAAAAACCCAAGTAACATTTTTCGATGGGGCCCACCTGGGGCCCACAGGACCTAATTGAAATTTGGGGCCCAATGGGGCGGCCCCTACGATTTTCTTCAAAATTTGCACAGACACTCTCCTGGCCCCCTCTTCAATCTGGCTGAAGAAACCTACCGGGGAATCCAAAGGAAGGGGCCCAAAGAGGGCCCCAAAGAGGCCCTTTCTAAGTATTGCCCCTAATTTCGCGACCAACCCCGGCAATATGCACATCATTGGAAAGAGCGTAATTTCCCAAACAAAAAACCCAAGTAACATTTTTCGATGGGGCCCACCTGGGGCCCACGGGACCCAATTGAAATTTGGGGCCCAATGGGGCGGCCCCTACGATTCTCTTCAAAATTTGCACAGACACTCTCCTGGGCCCCCTCTTCAATCTGGCTGAAGAAACCTACCGGGGAATCCAAAGGAAGGGGCCCAAAGAGGGCCTCAAAAAGGCCCTTTCTAAGTATTGCCCCTAATTTCGCGACCAACCCCGGCAATATGCACATCATTGGAAAGAGCGTAATTTCCCAAACAAAAAACCCAAGTAACATTTTTCGATGGGGCCTACCTGGGGCCCACGGGACCCAATTGAAATTTGGGGCCCAATGGGGCGGCCCCTACGATTTTCTTCAAAATTTGCACAGACACTCTCCTGGGCCCCCTTTTCAATCTGGCTGAAGAAACCTACCGGGGAATCCAAAGGAAGGGGCCCAAAGAGGGCCCCAAAGAGGCCCTTTCTAAGTATTGCCCCTAATTTCGCGACCAACCCCGGCAATATGCACATCATTGGATAGAGCGTAATTTCCCAAACAAAAAACCCAAGTAACATTTTTCGATGGGGCCCACCTGGGGCCCACGGGACCCAATTGAAATTTGGGGCCCAATGGGGCTTCTAAGTATTGCCCCTAATTTCGCGACCAACCCCAGCAATATGCACATCATTGGAAAGAGCGTAATTTCCCAAACAAAAAACCCAAGTAACATTTTTCGATGGGGCCCACCTGGGGCCCACGGGACCCAATTGAAATTTGGGGCCCAATGGGGCGGCCCCTACGATTTTCTTCAAAATTTGCACAGACACTCTCCTGGGCCCCCTCTTCAATCTGGCTGAAGAAACCTGCCGGGGAATCCAAAGGAAGGGGCCCAAAGAGGGCCTCAAAGAGGCCCTTTCTAAGTATTGCCCCTAATTTCGCGACCAACCCCGGCAATATGCACATCATTGGAAAGAGCGTAATTTCCCAAACAAAAAACCCAAGTAACATTTTTCGATGGGGCCCACCTGGGGCCCACGGGACCCAATTGAAATTTGGGGCCCAATGGGGCGGCCCCTACGATTTTCTTCAAAATTTGCACAGACACTCTCCTGGGCCCCCTCTTCAATCTGGCTGAAGAAACCTACCGGGGAATCCAAAGGAAGGGGCCCAAAGAGGGCCCCAAAGAGGCCCTTTCTAAGTATTGCCCCTAATTTCGCGACCAACCCCGGCAATATGCACATCATTGGATAGAACGTAATTTCCCAAACAAAAACCCAAGTAACATTTTTTCGATGGGGCCCACCTGGGGCCCACGGGACCCAATTGAAATTTGGGGCCCAATGGGGCGGCCCCTACGATTTTCTTCAAAATTTGCACAGACACTCTCCTGGGCCCCCTCTTCAATCTGGCTGAAGAAACCTACCGGGGAATCCAAAGGAAGGGGCCCAAAGAGGGCCCCAAAGAGGCCCTTTCTAAGTATTGCCCCTAATTTCGCGACCAACCCCGGCAATATGCACATAATTGGAAAGAGCGTAATTTCCCAAACAAAAAACCCAAGTAACATTTTTCGAGCTCGTTTTTGTGTCTGGAGAGTGTCTGTGCAAATTTTGAAGAAAATCGTAGGGGCCGCCCCATTGGGCCCCAAATTTCAATTGGGTCCCGTGGGCCCCAGGTGGGCCCCATCGAAAAATGTTACTTGGGTTTTTTGTTTGGGAAATTACGCTCTATCCAATGATGTGCATATTGCCGGGGTTGGTCGCGAAATTAGGGGCAATACTTAGAAAGGGCCTCTTTGGGGCCCTCTTTGGGCCCCTTCCTTTGGATTCCCCGGTAGGTTTCTTCAGCCAGATTGAAGAGGGGGCCCAGGAGAGTGTCTGTGCAAATTTTGAAGAAAATCGTAGGGGCCGCCCCATTGGGCCCCAAATTTCAATTGGGTCCCGTGGGCCCCAGGTGGGCCCCATCGAAAAATGTTACTTGGGTTTTTTGTTTGGGAAATTACGCTCTTTCCAATGATATGCATATTGCCGGGGTTGGTCGCGAAATTAGGGGCAATACTTAGAAAGGGCCTCTTTGGGGCCCTCTTTGGGCCCCTTCCTTTGGATTCCCCGGTAGGTTTCTTCAGCCAGATTGAAGAAGGGGCCCAGGAGAGTGTCTGTGCAAATTTTGAAGAAAATCGTAGGGGCCGCCCCATTGGGCCCCAAATTTCAATTGGGTCCCGTGGGCCCCAGGTGGGCCCCATCGAAAAATGTTACTTGGGTTTTTTGTTTGGGAAATTACGCTCTATCTAATGATGTGCATATTGCCGGGGTTGGTCGCGAAATTAGGGGCAATACTTAGAAAGGGCCTCTTTGGGGCCCTCTTTGGGCCCCTTCCTTTGGATTCCCCGGTAGGTTTCTTCAGCCAGATTGAAGAGGGGGCCCAGGAGAGTGTCTGTGCAAATTTTGAAGAAAATCGTAGGGGCCGCCCCATTGGGCCCCAAATTTCAATTGGGTCCCGTGGGCCCCAGGTGGGCCC